GACCTACCAGTTCCGCGCCAGAGCACTTAACCGATAGACCACTGAGCTGGCCGGCATCCAACGGTGTCAATGTCTAACTCCAACCAATCCACGAAGTTGAGCAACCGTTCACCAATTGTCTTCAGTGAGTTGATGTTTTTACAACAGACTTGGTTGAACTCCATTAGTCACTGCTTCCTACTAGAACTCAAGGAAATATCTCTTAAAGTCAGTCACTAGTGAGCATATGATTATAGATCAGAAGGGGTGAGAAGTTCCATGATAGGACGAAACGGCTGTTCAGTGCTTCCAGGTTTTCTATGGTGGTCCAGCTTCAATTGGCTCATGATTTCAACCATGAAAATACTGAAATATCCACAAAAACCCCTTCAGATACTAACTCACTGAAGACATTGATGAATGGTTGCTCGGTTTCGTGGATTGGTTAAAGTTAGACATTAACACCGTTGGATGCCAGACAGCTCAGTGGTCTAGTGGTTAAGCGCTCGCGCGTGAGACTGATAGGTCCTGGTTTTGAATCTGGAGAGACGGGATCGTGGATGCGCACTACTGAGGAGTCCCACAATAGAATGAGTTGGCCATCCAGTGCTTCCAGGTTTTCCTTGATGGTCTAGCTTCAATTGACTTATGATTTCAACTATATAAAAAAATTGCCAAAATCTCCACAAAACCCCCTTCTGATTAAGTTGAATAAAACGTTTGTACTAAAATGTTTATTAAATGTTGAATAGGATATCATTATGTTATGAAGTATCTTAAGATACAACATTTAGAAGGAAGAAGTGATGTAAAAGTTATTGGTTCACTATCTTTACATGCCACATTTTGATTCACAACAACTTCTACTATAGTGTATGTTACTGATGTCGACCGATATCGTACTTCAGTTTAGCAATCTATTCAAATATACGTTAGTTATTACAAGTTGAACTAAACTTCACTGAACTATAGACATATGATAATCTGCTCTTACAAAGTATTACGTGGTTTACATACAAATACTTAAATACAAGTTTAGGTCTCGGTAAATTATTGCTCATGGTTTACTGGTGTTGTGGTATGTGTTACTGATGTCGACAGATATAAGTAGTATGTATCATCAATCGAAAGTGAGATGCCTGGCGGAGGAAGGTTAAGAAGATCAAAGAAAAGAGAACGAGAACAGAGAATGGTTTGTATGTAAATGAAGGAACAATGAAGTCTGAGACAATTGATTGATATTTTGCAAATGAAGTTCTCAGATTTTACCAAGAGATTCTGTAATTTTATATTCAAATACATTTGATTGTACCCGCCTATGTTCTCTTTCACTACATTACTACCACTATTACTTATAATAGTAGTATTACTCATAACAGGGACACAAATAGTGTTGAGATAGTTTTAAGTTTGTAGCTTTTCTATTACTCCTTTTTGTTTTTCTACACCTAATCTTTCCTACCACTATTATTGTTACTACTGCTACTACTGTGGAACTTGTCTTGAAATAATTTTATCTCACTGTGTTGATATTGTGTGATAATCTAAGCCGATGGGCATATCTGTGTTCTATATGACGGCACAATTGTACAATATTTTCTGAAGAACTTTAATGATTGATTATGATTGTTTGAGAATCATTGTAGATAACTTGGTCTGCGTTTATTTCAGATTTAAGTTTTTCTGATGTGATAATAACTGATGAATTGTCTAATGTATTCATGAAACAATCATTCGTGAATATGAAGGTTTGAGGAAAATAATAAGAAGAACTGTCATAATGCATAATTAGATTTGTTTGGTAGGTTGTCACTAATGAATCGTGAAATTGAAATTTCTTCGTCTTTTGTAAATATTTTCATAGGTGAAATCATTAGTCAATTAAAGCTAGACCACCATGGAAAATCCGGAAGCACTGGAGGACCGTTTCGTCCTATTGTGGGACTCCTCAGTAGTGCGCATCCATGATCCCACCTCGCAAGATACGAATCCAGGACCTATCAGTCTCCCGCCAGAGCTCTTAACTGATAGATCACTGAGGGTTTCAGTTTACTAAGAAAATAAAGGGATACTATTTGTCAGAGATGATTAGATTGTTGAAAGCTTCACGATTATATAGTCAGGATAAATAAAATCAATAGTTTGTAACTAATTGATTAAAATTTAAAATCGATTATAAACGCACTAATCTTTTGCTTTTCTCTAGATACTAAATACAATATTATTGGGTACATTTATTCATCACTTCGGTTCTTTTAGCTTTTCCTCTTTGTTTAAGTTTTAATTCGCATGTTTATATTTATTTGCTGTCAGTTTTCAACTGGTTATAATAGTATGAAATGGAGTGACTTGAGTCACCGGTTTGAAAATTTCCTAAGCGTTGAATGACTGCTTAAGTCAACTGGGAGCTCATGAATTAGGTATATTTGCAATATGGACAGAAGTTATACTCCTCATGATGTTCGAACTAGCGTTGAGTTTCAATTGGGATGAAAGCTTAACACTAAGGTCGACAATAATTTAGTACGTCCATGGAATTCGTCTTACAAACCAATGTTTGGTGATTGAAGGTAATCGGGAAAAAGACAACTGTATTCCCGTCTAATTCTTGATGAGATGAGATTTTATCAACTAGTGTAAATTTATCAGTCCTACAAGCAATAAGTTACTAACCGAATAGTTCTGTTATGATTCCTCATATTGTGACTCTAGAGTGATTTAGTTTCGAATCTCATGGGTGTTACAAGTCCTCAAACTTGTAGACATGATTTGCTTACTAATTCCAGATAGTAAGAAACCTATACCTAAGACTTCCTTCCACCATCTAAACTCCAAAATTAGTACATGCAGTGTTGAGCCCCTTGAACTACTTATCGTATAATAACTTGGTTGATAGAAAGAATTCAATAAACATGACATCATTTACTGATAGGTGGTTAATTAGTATAACTTTGACGTCGTTTTGTAATATTTTATTGGTTTCGTTTTATGTGTCGATGTATGACACTGTCAGTCAGACAGTAAGTCAAATGCAATGTGGAAACTGGTACATATGTACACTAGTCGAAGCTGCAATACCGCATCACCATAGCGAGATGAAATTGTCAAAGCAAATCTCAGATTAGTAGGAGTAATAACGTTATTAATAGTAATAAAAAGATTAGGCGTCCAAGATACGTTTCAAGTTAATATTAACTGATGGAAATATAATTTATATGGAATTTAGAAACAGGATCAAAGGGAGAATAAAGAGCCTTGTCGTTCAAAGTTTCTAACCATTGGTTACAATAGTTGCACGCCAACCTACATGGCTCAGTTCAGTAGTCAGTGTCCTCATAGACTGATGCCATGTCTTGGTACGGCCATCTTAACTTTTCTTTCAACTTACTCCTACGTCAGCCATCATCATGCGTCTAGATAGTTGGTGGACGAGCTTACGTAATACATATCCTAACCGTCTTAGTCGATAAAGATTCACTAACTCGTCAGTCAACTTGCTATTTTCCCCTAGTATTCTGCTTCTAACCTCAGGATTGTCAATCCATGGTCCCAAAATATACGAGCGGTGACTCAGAGATACGTATAGTCAAATACTAGTAACCTACTAGTATCCTCTATTTTTAAACGTGTCAATTCACAACCATCAGGTAGAACAGTGTGTGCAGTAACACGGTATACTATCCATTTTGTTAGCAGACGGATATCTTACCCACGCTTCAAGTGAGACAATTTGGCAAAACCAACTGGGCTTTCCCAATTCGTGCCAAGATTTCGTTAAACACCACTCGGAACTGGGGACATGTAGTGCTTGATGTTATAAACAATATGGCTTTAAATCTCTATGTATATTAGTATTTCTTTGGTTCTATTTTATCCTAATAACTCGGTATGAAACTGAGTTCTAACATTGTATGGAGCATCTTTGGTACGACCATTTTGTATGGGTTGTAGACCATCAACGTTGATGATCTATGTCGAATGATTGGAGGCCTACTCGAGTTAGACGAAAACGGTGTAACGAACAAGCTAATTTCGAAGTCACACCTCGCGATTAGCACCTTACGTGGATTGCCCCATCGATGTATCAAGGGACCATGGATGCTCTGAAGACTGTACAACACAAAGGACGTTATTACAGGAATATATTAATTAAAGTAGATACCAGCGAAAGTAGAACCACTGGCACATGGGCTAATCTATGACGTATGATTAACTGATGCGCATTGATTGTCGTTGATCTTGACGGGGATCAATGATCTTTTCGATATTCAGTGACCCAACTGCCGGTGGATTTGGCTAGGGTTCAGTGATATTTCACTGGCCCTACAAGGTGCTTTGTGTTCGTGTATAAATTACGGTCTTTACATGTTTCTTTTACGAAAAAGTAACTTCAGAAACAATACATGAATGAGTATTTATTTATTTGCCCCCAAGTGCCTTGGTACTGCCGAGAATGGGGAGAGTCCACTCTCTTTCTCGAAATGCTCTCACATAGCCACGCGTATATAGCCTCTGCCACGGAGGTCCTACTCACTGCATTCTCGTGGCATTACTGTTGTTTACGAAATTGAGAGGACGAAAAGCGAATGTCCGGCGCTTTAACCGGGTTGGTGGACACGGAGGATCCACCTAGGGGAGTTGGAAAACCCTGATTCCAAAGCAAATAGTGTACATTAGCTGGTTCCAGTATCTTGAGGGGACAAATCGCATATGAATCAATTGTTGGCCACCGGCTACCATGGGACTGCATCTCCTCATGATGCTCCATTGCCTTGTGGATGAGACCTTTAGGTCAAAGTCTCCGGGTGTGCTCCCCCTAAGAAAACCATATGCTTCAGTTTGTGCACCTGGTCAGTATCATAGCCTTCACACAAATTTCATTTGATTTGTGTGGCGCATATATATCTGGTGCCCCTTCGTACCAATATTTATTTGTTTAGATAATAATAAATAATTTATTTATTTATATTGTATTCAAATCACTAACTGATCCCTTCCCATTTTTCATTATGATTTTCTAGTTTTCAACACCTCAAGCTAGAAGAATTTCTAAAATCAATACACAAAATATACGAGTTACATTCAATGCTCATTTAGGTAAACGTAATCGTAAACGTTCAAAACATCGATTACGTGCTTCTTCTGCTTCACCTTCAAGAGATTTTCTATTACCTAACGGTTCAGAAGAAGAAGATGATGAAGAAGAAGAAGAAACACATAATCTATCGAATTTTACTCATTTTAATAATCAATCACAAAATATTGTTAAAGTACAAGATTGAATTTCTTTTCATTATCATTTTGAATTCGAAAACTACTCTGAATGTCCATGAATTTCATACACATACTTGCACACACACACACAATTAGCCTTTGTATGATTTTAAATACTGTGCACTAATAAACCATATGTCTTTCGAGCCATCTTTGATTTAGATTAAACAGTTTACTTTAAAAAAATAATAATAACCAATTATATCCTAGTAACATATCTCCTATTCATTGCTTATTGTTTGGCGGTTTATTTTCTTTCAGCTTCCTTGTTTTCTTTTGTGAACATTAGATTAATCCTAATCTTATATATATAAAAATACCCGCCCCCCCCCATTATTTTACAATCAACTAATGTATATCATTAACATAAACCTTTAATATATATATCCAGTTTCTAGGCTATCAAAGCTTATATCTTATTCAATTAGAATTGTCCAAGTCATATGATCTTCAATGCATAGATATCTATATATATATATGAAACTGATATCTCTTCAATATCTTCCTTCTTCTTCTATTTATTATTATTTTGTTAATCTATTAGAAACAATGAAATGTTCCAATGGATCATTTATAATATATAGGCATGGCAACATTAAAATTGGGAATAAAAATGAATATTATTCATATTATGATTATAAATAGAAAAAAACAAACAAACTGGTGATTATTAATTAGTTATTTGCTTGATGGATAGTTACAATTTTATTGATTATATAACTTTAATTATCTCTCCCTCTTTTTTTTTCTTTCTTTACTTATGAATATAAAGAAAAAGTAATATTGTGACGTAATTTTACTTTCTTTTCTTCATATTACAAATTGTTACATAATAATAATTTGTTACTATGGTTTTAATATTAACATCATTGATAATGATAACATATACTAAACCCCTTGATATGATATTGATTTTTTAAAAAGAAAAACAAAGAGAGGGGGGGTATCTGTAAAATTTTTAATCGATTATTATTCTTATTATTATGATGACTGTGTCTTAGTTACTATGTTCTATGTTATTTTTCTGAGATTGTTTTATTGTTGTATTTGTGAAGAAATTTTAAGTTTCCCTTTTTTTTTATTTAAAATTTTGTTTCTTTCATTTCATTGCCTCTTAGAATATCTAAATGAAGTCATATTTTATTAAAATAAAGAGAAATCCGTTAATGTTTTTCTTTTTTAAAGCAATATTCATCATTCTCTATTGTCATGCATACAATCGAAACAGGTCATATGAGAGATCTTAACTTGGCTTTTATGGTATTTGAATAGTGTAATAAGAGGAGATAAAGATTATCAGAACTATGTGATGATATATTAGCGCAATACATTTCGAACAATCTGATCACACATAGTATACTTGTTAAGAACATTTATATATAAAAATAAAAGGTTAACTAGACTGGAAATGGAGGGTATGAGGAGACAAGGATAATAATAATAATAGAAGGGAGTTTTGTGGAGATTTTAATAATTTTATATAGTTGAGATCATAAGTCAATTGAAGCTAGACCACCACAATAGGACGAAACGGCCGTCCAGTACTCCCAGGTTTTCGATGGTGGTCTACCTTCAATTGATTCATGATCTCAACTATTTAAAATTACTAAAATCTCCACAAAACCCTCTTCTGATAGTGATCATATGCTCACTAGCGACTGGCTCCATAAGGTTTTTCCAGAAGTCCTAGTGAGAAGTAGTAACAAGTGGAGTTCAACCAGGTCTGTTGTGAGATCGTAACTCACTGAAGACATTGATGGATGTTTGCTCAATTTCGTGGATTGGTTGAAATTAGACATTAGCACCGTTGGATGCCAACTCAGTGGTCTAGTGGTTAAGCGCTCGCGCGAGAGACTGATAGGTCCTGGGCTTGAATCTCGTGAGGCGGTGTCGTGTATGTGCACTGCTGAGGAGTCCCACAATAGGATGAGTTGGCCGTTCAATGCTTCCAGGTTTTCCTTGGTGGTCTAGCTTTAATTGACTCATGATCTCAACTATATAATAATAATAATGCGAAAACAATTTGAAACCTAATCACTCTGGATAATAAGCTAATATTGCCAAGGTAGGTTTAAGATGAGAACAAACTGTTTTTGAAGACACAAAAAGGGTTTGAATTTTCGCATGGATGAGGCTTCAATAAACCTTAGCTTACTCCCTTTTACACTTTTATACAACACCACAAAAGCCGACTTAAGATCAATCTTATGACCTGTTTCGATTATATATTTGGCAATAGAGGATGATGAATGTTTCTACTCTACTTTTATCGAGTCATTTGATTTTATTTGTTTTGTGCAACCATTTTGGTACAAATAGGACGAAATGCGCGTCCTGGATTCCATTGCTAGCCACTATCCATCTTTGCTTAGAATGCTTGTGAATTAAGGTAATATCGAGGCAATACTCACAGTGTGCACATATGCCAATAAGAGACTGACCAGTTGCAGTGTAGTGAACAGAACACGACTGGGGACAATCGAATGTATTTAAGCAAAGATTACAGACTATCTAAGTAAATTCTGATAACCAAACAATGAACAGTCAGTTTGCAAATTAACAACAAATTGTTTCAATCTTCACTGTTTCTTCTCTTATTCCATTGCTCATGCATTTTCCAAGCAATTGCGCTTCATTTCAGTTCTTTCGTCATCGGTCTTCTGCCAAAATACATTCTATTTCTGACCCACACCATATACTACTTATATAGATATAAGTAGACAACACCACAGCAGTCCTAACACATCAATGGGAAGATTCAAACAAACAATACTAAGTGAATTCATTTTGGTACATGTTCACACATATTAATTTTCAGATCACTATTATTCCTCCCTATATAGATGTGACCACACTAACATTTAAATTGGTAAACGCAGTGGGATGTGACACAATCGTCTTTTAGGTTTTGGATCATGCATGAACCTCGTTCTTTCTTTAATAATGACCTACGCTACACAATACATTTTGTTGATGACTGATTTAAGCTTTTGTTTCTTTTAATCACTATTTGAGACAATTTAATGCAAAACTAATCGTTGGTAATAGGCTAATTTATTAATTTGATCCAATGATAAACTATGGATTACTGTTTGAGTCTGAACCATAAATGATTATGCATGTCATAGCCTAAAAATTGACGTAGATAAGATGGGTTCATAATTTGGAAGTTCAACAGTGAAGTTATGTATTTCAACCAGTAAAACTTCACTTTATGCAGAATACTTCATTTTTCATTATATTTGATTATCTGATTTGTACACCGATATACAAGTTTTCTATAAATGATCTCAATCAGCTATTTGAGTCAGAAAACAAAGACTGAGTAGGAATTTTCAATACAAATGTCAACACAGTTCTACTGTATGGAGCGGAAACCTGAAGAACTACGAAAACCATCATCCAGAAGATACAGGTGTTTATTAACAGTTATCTACGCAAAATACTTCGGATCCATTGACCAGACACTATCAGTAACAACCTGCTGTGGGAAAAAACAAACTACATTCCAATGGAGGAAGAAATCAGGAAGAAGCGCTGGAAGTGGACAGGACATACATTGAGGAAATCACCCAACTGCGTCACAAGACAAGCCCTCACATGGTATCCTGAAGGCTAAAGGAGGAGAGAAAGACCAAAGAACACATTACACCGAGAAATGGAGAAAGACATGAGAAAAATAAAGAAAAGTTGGATAGAACTCCAAAAGAAGGTCCAGGTCAGAGTGGGTTGGAGAATGCTGGTGGGTGGCCTATGCTCCATTAGGAGTAACGGGCGAAAGTAAGTAAGTAAGTAAGATGATTGATTTTACTTCACGAAGACATGTATATACTTGGACAAAACGTGAAATATTTTTTAGAAATTACATAGTTAAGTTAACTGTGATACGATAGATAAATAGTCTTGTTTTAATATCGTTAGTTACCTAGTGATTTACAATTTATACATTATAGAATGTTTATTTCTTTGTTTAATATTCTGTAGATGAATAAGTATAAGGACCAATATTATTCTGTGTGTTGCGATACTTATCCATTTAGTGATTGTTATATGAACAAAGTTATATGACCAGAATTCTGATCAATATATTACAAGTATAACCATATTCCCACGCAATATCGTTTTTGTTACTGTAACCAAGTGAAGATACTATACATCGGTTTTAAAAATTTAGTTAGATACATGTTATATTTAGTGATGGTTAAATTATGTTGGTATTCATTCATGATTTCTATGCCATTTTACAAGTTCTTCACTAGTATTACATTTCAGTAGTGAACGTTTATGTTTTTATTTATTTATTTATTTACATATATAAATATTGGTGAAAGGGGGCACCAGATATATATGCGCCACACAAAACAATGAAAATGGGAAGAGAAAGGGGTAAGATGCATATTAAAAAAAGAAAAAAAGAAGTAATGGTGAGGGAAACTGAAATGTACAACCGAAAGAACTCTCTCAGATAAGGAGGTTATAACCACTCTTTATGCAGAAAGTAAAAGAACGTTACTTCAGGATCGCCATTGGCTTCTATTCTGAGCCATATCTGATAACGTCTCTAGCCACTGTGTAGCACCATCTCTCGGAACCCAGTCAGGTATTTATGAAGGACCAATAGAAGCCAGTCTTTTGCAGATTTCTTTCATACCACGACACCATGTTATACACTGACCACCTCTCCACTTTTCCAACCAGTCCCAGAGTCGGCAAATAATGCACGACGTGGAAGTCTCTGGGACGACATTCTTAGAACATGTCCAAGCCACCGAAGTCGGTGTTTCAAGATGGTGACACCAATTGAATTATCATCTCTGCGCCCGAACACATGATGCCGAACCTCTGCATCACTAACATGGTATTGCCACTGGATGTTAGCAATTCTTCAGAGACAACGATGATCAAACACAGAGAGTCGTCTAACATCCTCAACTCGGAGAGGCCAGGTTTCACAAGCATAGAGCAAAACTGCTCTCACCGACGCGTTGTAGATCCGACCTTTTACAGCCAGACTAACATCACGAAGGTGCCAGAGATGGCCCAGATTGGCATAAGCCACTCTGACGTTCACTATACGTGCATCAATCTCATCAGTCACGCCCCCACCAGCAGTTATGTAGCTACCTAAATACGCGAAGATCTCAACTACTTCAATCTGCTCACCATCCAGGGTGAGAACAGGATTAGAATCCTGCCAGTCTCGTAAGAGTAATTTGCACTTTGAGGGTGCAAAGCACATACCGTACTTGCGGACACTAATTGCCAACTGATTAAGTGCGGATTGCATGCCTTGGGCATTATCACACAGTAAGCCTTTATGAAGTAATATTGGGAAAAGGACATGCTACGGGAATAGTTGGTATTTGATGCATGAACACAGTCGATAGATAAATCCAAATGTAAGTTTCTACTATATTTGCTTCTATTGATTATGTCTACCTATAACCTTCAAAAGAATATCGACTCGGGCTACTTTATTACGCAACAATACAATAGCTTATGATTAAATGCTTTATGCATGCAGCACACAAACCATTATATGACGGTAAATAGTTATTTCTTTTATTAGTTACGATTTCCTTTTCATGGTAATGATTAATTTGGTGATTTTAGTCTACTTACTGTCCTATCTAGATGTGTTTTTCTATTTGTTTAATTCACGTGTCCTGTCGTCACAAAACATGTTTCATCAGAGGAACCTTCTAGAACTGTAAGTCACTTGACTGGTGTTTTTTTCCTTATCCCCAAGAAGATATATATATATATACCCGAGCATACCTGATACCCTGATGTTATGGTCCTTCTTACATGCTATGACCACCCAATTGAGCTATATTGCCTGAAACACTCATTCACTTAGGTCCTATCATACAGGTCAGACCAATTTTAGAACAGGAAGTCTAAAAGCAGCAACTTAAATTCTGAGGGTAGAGTAATACTGCCAGTTGTAGTGCAACATGATAGGATTATATTGTATCCCTTAGGCAACCGCACTTTATAGAAAAGTTGTTTTCCCATAACAGAAGGTGGTTAACTCCACCCTCAAAAAATATCGAGCACCATAGTCATCACTAATGATAAGGGATAAAAATTATGAAGCCAATACATTTAAAACTACTCACAAAAGTCAACGACTGGAAGCTTACAGATAGAAAATTAGTTGA